TCTGAAGGAAATCCCTTTATGGGTTTCAGCAGTATTTAAGAGGAAGACCACTTTTATTAGTAGTATGCTTTACTATTAAATAAAATGCACCTAGCTAGTGAGGACTTCTGTGATACCCAAGATTCCTTAACTGAATGTGTGCTCCAGCTTATGGTGATGATGAGACTTCTCTTCTACTTCAGAACTGTGTAGCAAATAAAAGAAAGCCTTGCTGGAGTTAGTTGGGGTGGGAGATTTAGACCTGTACCGAGTTGGATTCAGTCAGTGATCACTAAACCCCCTGTTATTTCATTGGGTGGCCTTTGCTTGTAGGCTAAATTCTGTTTCCTGCGCTCCCTAGGAATGTCCCTGCACAAAGCAGGGGTGCTTGCAGTTTGCGTTGGGAGGATTCAAATTCCCCCATGTTAAAAACTAAACAGAATAATTCTTTTCTTCAGAGGTTTTGTGCTTTTCCATTCCCTCTGTCCCTTTTATGTTTTCCCTGCCAAAAGAAAATCACTAAATGTGTGAATGTAATGGTTTCAACTTAAAAAAAGTAATTGGATTCTCACGGAACTTCCCTTCTTTGCTCCACCGTTTCCAAGCGACAGGATGCATGGCCATTTCCTGTCTGTTTTTCATCTCCCTTTTTGAGATCCCTGCACTGCATCACTTTTATAAACCCAAACCCACATGGTTTTGATTTGGCAGAGAATGGCAGAAAGGCTATGGATGCTATGTTCTGGGATTTTGTTTGGTGTTTTTCATCTACATCTTCTGTTGTTTCCATATTGAACTTCGTTGTAAACTAAAAAGTATGCTATGTGTTCTGTTATGCTGTTAGCAAATCTCATGAGGTTTGGGAATCTTAAGAGCAAGTGCAAGGTGCTGCAACTGGGTTGGGGCAACCCCTGGTATCAGGACAAGTGGGAATGGCTTCAAACTGAAAGAGAAAAGGTTTAGACTAGATATTGGGAAAAAATTCTTTACTGTGAGGGTCATGAGGCACTGGAACAAACTGCCCAGAGAAGCTGTGGATCTCTGGAAGTGTTCAAGGCCAGGCTGGATGGAGCTCTGAGCAACCTGGTCTACTAAAAGGTGTCCCTGCCTGTGGCAGGGGGATTAGAAGTAGATGATCTTTAAGGCCCATTTCAACCCAAACCATTCTATGATTCTATGATCCTTGACATAAAACTGCCCTGATGGTACTTCCATCCTCTTCTTATCTGATTCAGATAAAGTAGACTATCAGGTACTTTTTCATCCAACCTCTTACTGCAAAGCATTAATAAATTTGGGAAAAAATGAAGGCTTGTAGGTCCAAGTCAATTTACATTGAGATCTCTTTTACTGGCAGCATGTAAGAGCTGAATAGTGTCTGTAACTATCTATATCAGTTTTAGAGATCCTTTATATTATTGGAGTGCAACAAAGATGACTAATGAGTATTCACCATGGGCTAATTACAACTGAAGATTGAGTAGGAATTTTTATCTCTAAGTTATCTGTCTTTCAGTTGCTCATATCTATGAAATATATGTTCATCACCCCCACCTCCAGCAAATCCTCTTATATCAGTCCCTACTCTAATCTTTTAGAGATAATTTAGGTAGAGTTCAGCCATTTTCACATTATACAAAACATAAAGAAAAAGGCTGTTGTCTTCTGGATTACCTAGCAGAACAGTCGACTCTGAAAAGTCCAAATATCCTTTGGTTCTAATTTGGAAAGGAAAAACCAAAGAGTCAAGAAAAGTAACCTAGACTCCCAGCTTCAAAATATACTAAACTAATCGATTCTCTGCATGACTACTAGGCTTTTCTTTCAGCTTTTCCTTCTTCCTTAACCCTTTTCCAGGGAAAGGCTGAAACAAGGCAGCAGCGAGAGGTGGTTTTGAACACCAACACCTTTCCTAAAACACCATCTTTCATTAAAAGCTGTCGTAGTTGCAAAACAGCCTTGAAAACATGAACTAAGTGTAACCTGGGCACAGATGTCTGCTTAAGCTTTCACAGAGTCTGAAATAATAGCTCTGAGAGATGTGAGCTTCACCTCAACAGGGTGTTCTGCCGTATGCCTTCTATTTTAAATGTGAACTTTCTCTACTCTTCCTGCTCTTCCAGGCAGGCAAGGTTTGGTCACTGCATGCAGTCAATTTACTCTAGTGACAAAGCATATATTTACTTTGGGAAAGAAACCCTACCTATTTTTTCTCCAATTACGATAAAATAAATTCCAAGGGACCCAATGGTTGTATCTGCCAAGACAGACCCCAGTCCAAGAGTGGCTGGAGTTGCACAGTGGATCAGCTTGACAGGCCGCCAGACTACTCTTCTGTCTGTAAAAGTGGCAAGCATCAGCAGCTTAAGAGAAGAGAGAAACAAATTCACAGTAGGCTTATAAAATATTTAGTGTAATTAAGAATACAGATTTAATGAAATTCTGAAACACAGGGTATTTTTTTTTCCCCTCACTTTCTGGTCCATTTCAAATGGAAATTTTCCACAAATAAAATGTCTCAATATTTTGATAATCATCCAATCCAAATTTAATCTTGTTAAAGTATTGGCCATTTCATGCAGAAAAGACTTTCAAATTCTGTGTGCTTTACAGTAGGTATGGTGGTGAGATGGACGGTAGACAGACATACAGACATGACTGTGATCGTGTCCCGTGTCCCTCCCCACGCGTGCTTTCTCATATAGCCAGATTTATCAGCTGCTGGAGCCCTTTGGGTTCTGTATCATCCCTGGGAGCCAGACACAGCCTGCCTCGGGGGCTGCAGCTGGGCAGCTCTGGGTGGCTGCAGGAGGGTCTCTGCCTTGCTCTTCTATTGCCCTGCTAGAGCAGGGATGGGCATCAATGCCCTCTCTCCCAGCCCTTTAGTCCAGACTGATCCCACCAGAGAAGTTCAGTTTAACAGTGGGTCAGTTAATGCTGCCTGCTGCGAGGGCCTCTCATGGTATACAAAAATACACATTTGATGGTTTTATTCCATTTAAACCCCCTAAGCTATATGAAGTGCGTGGTTATGTGTTAAGGATACAAAGCCCCAAACAATTTCATTTACTTCAGTGGGAGCTGCAAATACTGGCTGTTAAAACACAGATGAGAATTACTGCAGAGCGAGGACCGGGAAAGTAAGTACTTGAAACCCAAGAAAATCCCCAAGCTAAGGTTTCTGCTCCAACATTCAGTTCTTTCTGTTGTACATCTACACATTTTATTATTAGTTAATGTATATCCTGTGAGGTGTGTAGGATGTGCAAGGAAGCCAAAACGATATTGCTTTGGAAAAGTTAATATTTGTAATTTCCTGACTTTGAATATTTGATTTTTCAGTCCCAGTAATGCACTAATGCTGTTTTACGTGTTTAAAATATAATTGGCTCGGATTTTTTTCATCTTTTCAACTGTTGATACGATGATTAGTTTCTGGAGGAAGAGTGAAAAGAATGACGTTTTTTCTTTGGCCCAGTACCACAGAATCTATTTTATGCACTTTTTCATTGCAGTGTTACTATGCTGGTGAAGGAAACTTAGTGTAGGTGGGAACTTGGCTGCTCAGTGCCTCTCAGATGAATGAGACTTGGAAGCCTCTCAAGGGCGGTGTTATTTTTATTTCCTTTCCAAACTCGCGGGAAGCACTCGAAGGTATAGAGCTTTTCATGTGTGTTTACAGGACCGTGCGTTTGCTCCAGCCGGCCCCCGCCGCAACACCTTCTTGAGCAGTTTAGGACACTGTTTGTTTAGCACCCGACAAAAATAAAGACTAAACAGATTTAACCGCAGGTTAAATTAATATTTATGACCTTTACTAGGAAAGGCTCCACTTTCCTGCTGGGCATAAAGGACTGTTACGATGTGTCAGTGGACACGCCATCCAAGGAGGTGATGTTGCAGCAGGCGAAGGTGCCCGTGAGGTGACACATGACGGTACCATGGTGCTGCCCTGCCCCACCTGCCGGGCCCCGGGCAGGGGCTGCAGCGCCCCGGGCCCGGCGCACCTGCCGCGGAGGGCACGGGCCGCCCGCCCTCCCCCGCCGGGCTCAGGTGACACCGGCCCCGGCGGCTTCACGGGCCGCCGAGGAGCTTCCTGGTTCCCAGAAGGTGCCGGAGCGGCTGCAACAGGAACTGAGAGACGGGGGAGGAGGCGGTGCCGCCGCTCCGCCGCAGTCGCGGCCCGAGCCGGGGGAGCGGAGCGGAGCAGCCATGGGCCGCCGCCCGCCGCGCTGAGCCGCCCCCGCCGCCCAGCGCTCCGCGGCCGGCGCTGCCCCCTCGCCCCCGCCGGGCGGGGCGCTTGTCCCT